CTTTTTCTCTAATTTTTTCCTCACTAACCCACTCACGCCGGGTACATTTTGTAGCCAAAATAAAAAAAATCCGGGCAGCTACAAAAATTGGGTTGCGGAGCTTCCCAGAGTCTGTCTGCCCGCGCGTCACACTGCGCGCGGAGCGTTTATTTTTTTCAGGTGTCTCAGATATGGGACACCCAGCGTGATTGGGTTAAAGAAATCAAATTGATCTGGGGTAAATTAATAATTGTTCCTTTACATGAAAGTGAGTTTAGTCCTAGTAAATGAGGATTAAAATGTGTTATTACCTACAAATAAACCTCAAAAATAACCCATCAAGTACTTTGCTCATTGTTATTGTGGGAGGGCTTAACCCATTGGCGCCAGGTGTCACGTACGTCCATGCCATGGCTGATGTGGACCAAACGCCGGGGGCATCATGCCATACCCATTCCCGTGCTACTGGCTCGTCGGACGGAGGTTGTTTTTCTCCAGTAGTAGCGGCTTCATTTATATGGTAAAGATTTAAGGCAATGGCACCTAAAGTGAAGGTAAACCTTCAAAATTTTAATATTTTTATAAATTTTAGCAAAATAAAAGCTTTTAGGTGCTATATGTCGCTCGCAAACTACCGATCGAGCCGGGCGTAAACAGGGGAAACTGCCGGTGCGCGCCAACAAGCCGGTGCATACGTAAACTTGCCAAAATTTTTACCCGTCGCTGATGGGTTAAGAGACAGACTGAGGACCAATGCAGGGGATCACCCCTGCCTTGGGCCTCAGCCCTCGCCTCAACTAATTTTACTTCGTCTTTTCTTCTCTCCTGTATTCTACCATATTTTCTTCATCCCCTTCTTCTATCCCATACCTAAGGTGTGAGAGCCTTGCTGAAAGAATGATTAAAGGCTGGCTTTGTGTCAGTCAGGAACGGCCTCCAGGAGCCCTGGGCAGGGTATTCCCTTGGTTAATTGTCTAGCCTTTACCCCGTATGGGAACCCCAAGGGCTAGACTGTTTCTTTTCCCCATTTTATTGAGGCTCACCATGGCCAATAATGAAGATTCTTTATCCTTTATAGGGGCATTAAAGCTTGACCTTTCATCAAATAGCCGATCTGAATTTGATTTTGATGGTTTTCCGACCCCTGCCCCTCCTTTAATCACAGCTCCAACCACCAACACTAATACCCTTTTTTTGACGCTTACAAACAACTCTAACTATTCCAAAACACCCACCCAGGTTAATACTCAGCCTCCAGAAAGCATCCCTTCCCTTCTCCCAACATTCTTCTCTCCATCTACTGCAGAGTCTTCTTCAATGTTTAGCCCTTCTTCCCTTATTACTACTCTTCATTCTTAATGTCCTTCCCCCCACAGAACTACTCCACTCTACACACACCTATCTTCCTTTTACCCTTGTCCTTTTACTAACTCTACCTCTACAAACCTTCTGAGTACTCTCTTTGGCCCAGCCAAGTGGGATCGATTCTTTGTGATTCTCCCCACAGCCCCCTATTCTGAGGGTACCCTTCTCTTTCAACAGTCCTTCCAGAAACAAGTAAGCAAGGTTAACTTTCACAGTCACTCTGATCATTCAGATTGTCACAGTTACATCTGAATCCCAAGCACATGCACTGTCTACCCAAACTGACCATACTGGCAAACCCATTCCTGCCGAACCTCACCCTTCTCTTAACATTTGTACTGGAACTGGTTCTATCCCCCCAAATGCTTGTCCTATTAACAACAAGGACTGGTCAGACTGTGAAAATGACCTACTTACCTGCCCTGCTGAAAATGATGCAGTGGTAGTACAGTGATACACTCTTCCTCCCAGTGGAAAGAGTAAGTCCCATTTCAATATTGCCAAGATTAGCTTCCATAGACAAGACCTCGCCCATGAGATTTATATTGGTGGATTGTCTTATCATGTCCGACAATATTGACTCCTTCCTTGTTGATGTCAGAAATCTTAGCGTTTTGGCCACCCAGCCAAATATTGTCACTCCGCAGCCCACTGCCCTCTATGTGCCGAACCTGGTCATGACCGTTCCAATTGCCCTGCTCAGTCACATACATGTGAACATTTTCGAGACTCCCATAATGTATTTTATAGGAGCTGCCTTGCCTACAAGTTTGAATGTGAGGTAGCAGTCCTCAGATGTAAACTAGGCCTCACTCTACATGAAGCTAGACAGGAAGCACAACGACGAGGTTTTTCTCTCTCAACTTATTCCAAAACAGTACTTTGCTCTGCTACCCCACTATGTTCACAAGATGTTTTGGCATCTCACCAAATGTCTCTCCCCTTTACCCTTAACATGTGTCCTATGTCTAATCACCCTATCCACCAGTCAAATCTGTTTTCCATTCTAAATTCAGATACCCCAATCTCTACCACTTCTCTGATACTTACCCCTCCTTCTCACTTTAGTTTGTTGTACCAGGCAACCTAAACATTCCACTTCATCTTTTCCTCAGATGTCTATCCCCTCTTCTCCTCCGTATAAGAGAACCTTTGTTTCTCAGTCCTCTTTACCCAATTCCCCTCTGGAAACCCTTGAAGACATCCAAAACTTCTTAAAGATGACCCAAGGGAACACTCCACTCCTTCATCCACCCCCCAATCCCTCTGTTCCTACTCCTGCAAAATTTTAAGTATTTGCAGGTATCCATCCTCCTCCTCCCCAAGTTCCCTCCTGCCCCCATCCTCCTACACCCTCCCAGCTTACTCTACCCTCTCTAATGCTTCCACTTGAACACTCACACGAATCCCCTCTATCACAACAGTGTCCTTCTCCAGACCCTTCTCCAGATACTTCACCACCTTCTCCGTTCTCCCTTTCTCGGCCCCTGGATTCTTCTCGTACTTCTCCAACAGCCACCTCTGTTTTCCTTGATAAATGTCCCTACTCTTTCCCCAGTCACAGATACACTTCAATTCACTCAGTTGCCCTACCCCCTTATATTCCACCAATCCCTTCCCAAAATACCTCATCCTCTCAACCAACCAAACTAAAAACCCCTCCAAAACCTAATTCTTTTCCACATACCTCATCCTCTCAACCACCCAAACCAAAACCCACCCAAAACCCCATCCTTCCCCACTATCCCTCCCACTTCCTCCTGGATACACACGTGAATCTCTTTTATCACAATACCCTTCCCCAGAACCCACCGTCCCTGTCGAATCCCCAGACACTACTTCACCTACTCCTGGTCCCTTATCTCAACCCTCAGATACCTAATCCCTTACTATTAAGACAACCATATCTATTGCTATCACCTATTATCTCTGTTCCTTCCCCAGTAACAGATTCACTTTATCGCTCTACCTCCAATATGGTCCATTTTTATCCTACCTACCTCCTTTCCCTTTCCGTTACCATACTTTCCTATAACACCCGTTAATCTTTGACATCTAAAACCTTCCCCTCCCAGATGCTTCTCCTACTTTTCAATAGTTATCTCTATTCTTCCTAGAACATTTTTCCTATACCTTCCCCAGTGACAGATTCACTATAATTCCCTCAATTGCCCTACCTCCTTAACCCTCTCCTTTCTACTAATTTCTGTTTAGTTCACTTGCTCCTTCTTTCTCCTTTCACTACCATACTATCCTATAACGCTCTCAAACCTTTGACATCTAACACATATCATTGTAATCTTTAACTCTCCTTTGCCCTTTCCGACACAATACTTTACCATAGTGCCATATGACTTTTGATGTCTAACACATTTATTTTTCAAACATTAAAAAAGATGATAATAAAAAATAAAATAGAAAATAGACAAATCAGAAATGATAAAAAAAAAATGGGGGGTATCCTCCCCCTATGGGGAGCCAAGGTCAAAATGATATATGAGACAAAGCGTAATTATATACTCTATGTTATGTAAAAACAATCCATGAGTTACCTCTAACCAATATTTTTTTTTACAATAAAATGAGTAGAGTAAGGTAGGCATTCTCAGGGACGTTCCCGTAAGGCCCGTATATTGAGCTATGTGATGGCAGTGAAGCTTCTGTGTCCAGTGGGGTAAAATTGCATAGATAACAATTGATCATTGAATATCTTGTGTTCCATGATGAGTGTGTTAAGGTCTGAATAATAGTCTTCCTTTTTTGTATTCTTCTGCAGCCACAGTAGAGACAAAGATATGAAGAATTATTATATCAACTGGTATTTCTCTCAATTTTATAGGCATTATTCTGTGTGAGGGAGTGTAATAGCAAGTTTTATGTTTTTGTGGCTCCATTTATTCAGATAAAAACAATCCCTTTTCTTGATATTTTTGACCTTCAAATTCTGGTGTTTCAATTGTACCATAAATTGCCCCTAATCATTCCAGAGAGGCTCTGAAAGTCAAAAGTATGAATTATGTCCCTCTCTTGAATATTCCTTTTGCAAATTTGAGTTTCGGTGTTTCAAGTTAAAAAATCTAGCTGTTGTTGGATGATGCTGTAATTAATGACAGTCTTGAGTGTTTTCATTTTGGTGGACCATATTGATGGAATATTTTGTAGTGTATCCATAGAGTTTTAAGTGCAACAAATTCTGCAGGTATTAATGACACCCTCATTTAATTCCAGAGAAGAAACTTACTATATTAGATGTAAAACTTTTTTCTTTTTTTCAAAATATTGTGTTTTACCAAGATCATTGTGTGACTGTCAAAACCAAAATATCTATGGCTATACAATATAATTCCTAGAAATGCATATCCATAATCATACATTTTTTTGTCTGTATTACTACTGTACATCCAGTTCAGGCCATGCCATTGCTTTATGCATTGTTTCTCACAGATTTAATTATTATTGACAACTTCCTCAGTCACCAGCATTTTAGTCTGTAATATCTGTCAATGAAGAGTCAGATAATTAGGTTTCTTGTGTAATGATGCCAAAGTTTGCTAAAACTTCAAAAATAAACTATCCTTGAAACGTCTTATGTTAAGACTATGTTTTGCATGCTTTGTATATAGACAGTTCATTTCATCTCAGGGGTTATCTCACAGGTGCTGCAGGTAGTGGACCAGAAGAAGAAGAAGAAGCTGGTGACGGTATATATTTACTTGTCACAAATAGTCAGAAAATTGCACAGGCAAATGCTGCTGTCAGGTATGTATTAAGATTTTTTTTATCCATTTCTGCTCCTCTAAAATACACACACACACACACACACATATATATATATATATATATATATATATATATATTATATATATATATATATATATATATATATTATATATATATATATATATATATATATATATATTTATATGTGCATTAGTAGATGAGAGTGAGTGAGTGAGTGAGTGAGTGAGTGAGTGAGTGAGTGAGTGAGTGAGTGAGTGAGTGAGTGAGTGAGTGAGTGAGTGAGTGAGTGAGTGAGTGAGTGAGTGAGTGTGTGTGTGTGTGTGTGTGTGTGTGTGTGTGTGTGTGTGTGTGTGTGTGTGTGTGTGTGTTGTGTGTGAGTGTGTGTGTGTGTGTGTGTGTGTGTGTGTGTGTGTGTGTGTGTGTGTGTGTGTGAGTGAGTGAGTGAGTGAGTGAGTGAGTGAGTGAGTGAGTGAGTGAGTGAGTGTGTGTGTGTGTGTGTGTGTGTGTGTGTGTGTGTGTGTGTGTGTGTGTGTGTGTGTGTGTGTGTGTGTTTGTGTGTGTGTGTGTGTGTGTGTTGTGTGTATATATATATATATATATATATGTATATAGTGCAGTGTTGTCCAAACATTTTAGCCTATTGTACCCTTTATTTCCTTCTTGTATGTACACAATGGCTAAACAAACTGTTTTTTTTAGGATAATGCAAATAATTTACTAATTATGAAAAGACTGTATTGCAGGAGTGTTGGTAAAAAAATTTGACTTTAATACACAAATAAAAAAGGTGAGTTAATAACAAAATGCTTGAAAAATACTTGTGAGGCGTGTGTGTTCCTTGTTTGTTCCCGTACCCCTATGCTCTATGTTGCGGACCCCAGTTTGGCCAACACTGATACAATGTATATGTATATGTATGTATAATTTTACTAACATATGCCATTTCTTTTTGTTAAGTATAAAAGATAATTCTGTAATTTTGCTCATGACTTGGAAAAAAGACAAAAGGATATAGAGGTAAATTAGACCATTTTTTTAATCAGGTTTCTGTGTTAGAGTAAAAGATGTAAGCTTTTGCTAGATGCCTTTTATTCACATGTCTCCCTTTTCCTCCTGTAGAAGAAAGAGACCAGCAGAGCAAGCAAGACCCACAAGATTTGAGCTGGAGGAGGAGTCTGAAAATGCTAGTGTAAAAATTGCAACATGGTCTTCAAAGAGTTCAAATGTTCCTTCATTCTTTCCTTCAACTTCCATTCAAGGGCAGGAGCCTACCACAGCATTCTTATCTTCCACACATACTACCTCAGCAGACAGTTCAGATTTGCAGCAAAAGTTTGTTAATGTAACGACATCTGGAACTGTCTCTTCTCCCAAATGCAATTCAGTTTCACCAAGTTCAGATGGGCTTACAGGCAGCTCACCTACATCAAGACAGTGTGTACAACCACATGATCAATATACTTTCATGTCACACACTACATCTAATGATCCAGCTCCATCACACAGTGCAGAGGATGATGCCATCACAGTCATAGAAGATGTTCCCATAAGTTTGAATGCAAGATCAAAAGGCCACATAGTGGGTGCTCAAGAGAATGAAAATATAGTCGATGATGATGCTGGAAGAGATGGTGATGATTTAATGGAGAAAATTTCCAATATTTGCAGACAATTAGAAGATAGAGACTCTGATGACAGTGAGTCAAACCTAGAGGAATCCTTTGAATCAAGTGACAACAGCATGAATTTCATGCACAGTGGCTCTTGTGTCACATCAGATTGCTCATCTCACACACCTGATGATCTTAAAAATGAGTCTCTAGGAATGCATCAATCAAGCACATCAGTGAAATCAATACTAAAAAGAAAAAAAGATAAGAACAAGATAGGAACAAAGAAGCGTGTTTCTTTTCCTCTAGACGAGAACGATGAATTAATTAATGAAGTTGCAACTTATTCTCATTCAAAAGAACCATCACAGTCACTTCTGGATGTCCAAAAAACTGTTGGAAGTTTCAGATCAAGTGAGGATGTATCTTCTCCTGTCAAACTTACGTTATCATTGAAAAAGAAAGTTCTTGTGAACCTAGCTCTTGGGGAGTCAGAGACCAGTGAATCTCAGTCTAGTCACAGAAATGTGAAAAATAAGAACAAAAAAGATAGCAATTCCCCAAGCCAGTCAACTAGTCAAGGTGTAAGTCAGGGTGACATGTCTAATCATGCAAAAATTATCTCTGAGGTTTTGAAAAAATATCCTCATTTAGTAAAAGACAAGAAAAACATACGACTTAAAATTCTCAAAAAAGGAAATGACAAGGCAGGCAGTGGAAAATTGGTGAAATCCAAAGTTCAGTATCTTGTTTTAAGTGAAAATGAATCCAAAGCTAAGCCAGGGAGTAAACTTTCTAAAAGTCCCACAAGTTCTGTACCCAAGGGTGACAGCTCTACCACAAGAGGAGCACAAAGTTCTCAAACTTTTGACTGCCCCGAATGTAGGGACTTATCCTTTACAACATACTTTGCATTCAAAAAGCATGTGTTATATGAGCATAAAGATAAAAGCAGTGCTATTTTAGCAAATGTTGAGAGTGTACCATATGCTTGTTTTACCTGTTTTCTTAATGAGCCGTTAGAGTTTAGTGACTACTGTAGTTATCAACAGCACATGAAAGATGTACACAGTAAGAGTGAGGCACGCCTGTGTAGCATTTGTGGATTTAGACCAGGAAGGAAGCTGGAGTTGGCATATCATTTATATACAGAACACAACAAAACACCTAGAAACATAACATTTCCAAAATGTGATCTTTGTGATCATGTTGCTATGACTGAAGCAGCCTTACTGAAACACAGGTCACAACATGCCAATGCAGATAATTACACTTGTTCTGTTTGTGGAGTTGCATTTCGCTCTTTTGGAGCTCTGCAGGGCCACATGCAAACTAAGTTGTGTCAAAATAAACCAAGCATTAGCCACAAGTGTCCATATTGTCCCCAGACTTTTGCCCGATCATATAATTTGAAGGCACACTGTAAATCAAACCACAGAGCTCTTCATAATATAGCACAAACTTCAACTGGATGCACAGGGGAACAAACAACAGAAGTTCAACAGCAGGAAGAAAGAACCTTGTCCTCTAATGATCCACAAAATGTACCTGACAGGAGCCTGGAAGAAAGGAGCTTGAGTGTTGAGGGAATGTGTGAAACTTTAACAAGCATAAACTCACACTCATCATCAGAGGCTGAGGCTTTGTCAACTGTGGCAAGTAGCCTGGCAGCATCACTTGGTCTCCCGGAAGAAAGTATGACGCAGTATATGTACACTCAAGGCAGCAAGCTGGACTTTCCTGGAAGTCTAGAAGGCGATAAATATGAAGAAGGAATGAATCGACCTAGTAGTGTCAGTGTACATCTGGTTGAAGCATCTACCCCAGTTTCAGGCTACCCAGGAGACATGACAGTGTGCCATGATAGGACCTACACTTGTCAAGCACAAATGCCATCCACAACATCAGTTGGAACACTTTATCCTGTGGGGGTTGTACCAAGCCAAATTGTTCCAGGCCAGATGGTACCTGGACAGCTTTTGCCAAGTCATGTCCTTCCTGGAAACTGTGTTAGTGTAGCAGGTGGCTCTGTCATTGGAGCAGCTCCTCACAGCTGGACCTATGTCACTTACCAGGTTCCTACCACCAGTGATGATATACCAGTCATGACAGAAGCCACAACTTTAACCCCATCATCTGTTCATCCAGATCACAATGCAACTGTGGAAGTCACAATGTCTGGCAAGTCCACAAATAGTAATAATGGAATCACCTCTAGTTGCGAAGATCCAAATCCTCTTGTTATGATAACCAGTCCAACACCCCAAGTGAACATTAGCCAGTCTTCTCAACTCTCGGCTACACAAAGCTATGACACATTTTCCTCACAGTTTGTGTGACCAGTAAATAGATCTGCTAGTGAGGATATCTTATACCACCCCAGTTATTGTGTTCTTTAGGTAGAATTTAAGTTGTCGGATTGACACAATAGAAATTCTTGATTCACATCAGAGAATTTACCTAGCTTAAGTTAAAGTAGCTTGCAAGGTGTTAGAAATTTTTGAATATTAGCAGTGTGTAGTTAAAGTCATGATAAGAAAAAGTTGTCACTTTCTTTCTCTTTAAATGTAAATCAATTTTTATAAAAGTAGTTGGTGTTATTGGTTTGTCATTAGGCAGAATAAAGAATTACCACATACAGGCCTAAGGTAAGCAGATATTACCTTTAGCATTATAATTTCATATTTTCAGTATATATATGGTTTATATAGTTTAGATCTATTCACATTTTTTTATGGATTTCTTCCTCTCTTATGTGTGTATTAAATTTTAATACCTCACAGTTTGTATATAGTGTGGAACATGTATTGTACTTTCAAGTTATGATCTTAAGGGTCATATTTATATTCACAATTTGTGAATTAAAATAGTACAGAATACTCTTTGTGTTAAAAACTTTTACAAGTTTAGTTTATTTATTTAGTTGCCAAAGCTGAAAAGAGTACAGTATTTTGTTCCTTTTTTACCATTACTTCATATTATTGAAATAACCTTTTCTATTGGAAAATATAGGTACTGACAATGAAATGATGAATACCTTTTCAAAAAAATATGTTAATTACAATGCCATGACATTTTTGGCTAGAGTATTTTATATATAGATCAGTTAAACTCAATTTGTGATAGTATACTGGACTTAAAAAGTCTTAATTTTTAACAGTGACATGTTATTAAATAGCATGTTTTTTATGGACTTATTATTTATTGATTTGTTGATTTGATGTATAATTTATTTATTTGTTAAAGAATCTATCCTCCATGGACATTATTATATGGTTGTGTATTCTAGATCTGTAATGTTTCTTATATATTATCTGTCTTTTTTCATACGAGGTCAGAATGTTTGATGCTAAGAAGTACCAACATCACATAGAATCATGCCTTGTACTCATGCTTTGCTCATACTCACAATCACAAAGAACCTAGACCCAGACTCAGACACTTTTTTTCCATCAACGTACTATCTCTGTCCTTTTACCCTTTATGACTTATATAATGTTCTCTCATGATTTCCAAGTCACATTTTTATTGCAACCCTCCTCCCCATCAGTTTTCATAACTGCTTAAAATGTTATATCAATTACTCTGCTTTATAGTTATTAAATTTGGATGAGTCATATATCAATACAACAGTAATCATAATGCAAATGCATGAACTACTATGGATCAGATACATTTTATGTGATATATATTTTGTTTTTATTAATATATGATCGTTTCATTCATTTATTTTAAAGCAAACCATATATTGAGTGAATGAATACACTAATCTTTCAAAAAGAATCTTAGACATTCATGAATTCCATTCAGGCTCCTAGATATTTTGTTATTGTGCAAGCAAAGGATAAGTGAAGTTCAGTCACCTCAATTTGTATCAAATGTCTTTTGCTCTTTTTAAAAGCAGCACTTGAAACTGTGCTGTAGGTTACGTTAGAACTTTTAGAAAGCTGTGTAACCCATTGCTTATTTTATCCCCTCATTATATCAAAATCTGTCGTTTACTGAATGATAGAAGCAATAACCATTTTCAAGGAATAGATCAGTTATATGTGTTGCTCTATGTAAACATATGTCTGGATGGGTGTGTGAGTGAATGTATGCTTGTATGTTTGTTTGTTTGTTTTAATAGGAGCATATACATTCACAAATACATATGTATATCATGCAAAAATCATTTTGATTAAAAGAAATCAGTGATTCATGTAGATATTTTATTCATGTAATATTATATTGTTAATTTATGTAGTATATGCCAGTTTTTATGTACATTTAGTGTTAATTGTAAGTTACCTTCATTTGTAATACAGATGGCAAATGTTATTAGAAATATTATTTACCTTACATTGTTCACCTACTGTAAAAGGCTTCATTTGTAATCAATGTCCTATTGATAAATCTAGAGCAGCAGTTCCACACATGGGGGCCATGGAACAATATGAAAATTATGACATTAAATTAAACAATTGTATCTCATATACTCTACCTACATATAATTATCTTTCACATAATATCTTGGAATCTTTCTATAAAGTGTGTTTCCCTTTAGTTACTGACACCATTACACTATGCATAACTAGTAATAACAACCTGAAAAAATGACAGTCACTGAACAGGGCTATGGAGATTATTATACATGGGTTGGGAGCCACACAATGAAAAAGGTCGGGAGTCACTGATCTAGAGGGAATCTTTCTTAGAATTATAGTAAAGAGTAACCTGTTAGATAGACACACTTGAAAACAGTCACAAATACTGAGAGGGGAGTACCTTCCCCACCTGTAAAAAAATTAATCTGTATATGTACTTAAAATAGGCTGGCTCTCAAATGACAAAAACGATACAATAAATTGTTTATATAACATATTAATTATCATTTAATTTGCAGGACATCACCCTGCTGAAGCACTCATCATAAAATATATACCTTACTTGTGAGCTGCCTCTTTACATATCTTGTGCAACTGATAAATATTTGATGTCCATTTGATATTAGTTGTGTCTCCATTCTCTGTTGATGTCTTCTCAAGTATATAAAATGATAACCAATTCTCAAGCATTTTCTTTGTGTGTGGATTTCCATAAAATATCTGTTCAAGTTTTAAGTTATGAAACAGGCTATTTCGCATAATGAGTTAATCGAGTTGGGAAACAATCTGACCAGGTTATGTGCTCAGACAGGTGTTACTTTTAACCAGTTGATGGAAAGAACAGACCTAGAGAAAAAGTACAACCACATTTACTACTGCTTTCAAAATAAACTAATATTTTTAAAGATATATACAAAAGCTTTTATACCATTGACATCACAAGTTGTTGTGTTGTTACTGTAAATAATTATAACTTAAGAGGCTGGAGGCTCTACATTAATCTGGTAGGTCTTTAGACACCTAGACGATGATAAACCAAGTCCTGTCTTGGGGGTGAAACAGAGATAAAGAGATTTTTTTTTTTTTTCTTTGCAGGGGAAGAACTTAATCTGATCTGACCCAGCCAGGGTCAAACAAGTCGCATTTTCATAAACAAAGGCTGGAATAGTTGGCCTTTGGTGCCGGCCTGACCCAAGGTCTATATAAGTACAGGTCTCGTCACTTCAGAGTTCTGCCCAGTTTTGGGTGATAAGGCCTATGACGTCACTAGGAGTAGAGTGGATGGGAAGGAGATAATAGAAAACGGTAGCAAATGAGCAAAAACTTAATTAATTTTAGATGCCGGCACATTAAATGATTTGCATATTGGACAGATTTTACAGGTGCAGCTTAGATATGGTCTAATAAAGAAGTAAAATGAACAAAGAACACATGGCAT